CACTTGGCGTGCGCCGAGTTCGTCCGTTCTCTGCAGCTCTGGACAAGGGGTTTAGTAAATCTCCAGCATATTAATTTGGGGAATTTTCATGGTCCTGGTGGAGGGAATTCGTGTTTTGGGAAGGTGAAGGATTTAAGCCCGTCTCTGTGTGGGGTTTAGTTTGGGTTTCGCACAGCCCAGAAAGGAGGTGGAAAGGAATAGTTTGGAAAACGGGGAGGAAGAGGAAAAATAAGGAGGGGAAAGAGGGTTTGGAACAGCTTGGGCTGTTGGAAGGATGGATGGATGGATAGATGGATGGATGGATGGATAGATGGATGGATGGATGGATGGATGGATGTCCCTGTGGGATTTAGCTCGTCCTCTGTTTTTTGAGTTGGTTTGAGGCTGCTTTGAGATTTGGATTCAGGTTCCTGGCCATATAGGCCTGTAGGATGTATAGGTTGCTGGATATACAGGACTCAGGAATTCAGGGTTGCTGAGTGTTTAGGGATGCTGGATATATGGGACTGTAGGATATATGTGTTGCTGGATGAAATGAGTTGCTGAAGATATCGGGTCACTGGATGTGCAGGTTGCTGGATGTGTAAAAGTGGTGATTATATAGGAATCCTGGATGTTTAGGGCTGCTGGATGGATGGGGTTGCTGTATGTGTAGAGTTGCTGGATATGTGGACTGCTGGCCATATAGGGTTGTTGGATGTATAGGTCTCATGATTTGGTATACAGAACTTGGATATTTAGGGCTGCTGAGTGTTTAGGGTTGCTGGATTCAAGGTCTGCTGGATATATGGGATTGTGGAGTATATAAGGTGCTGAATATATAAACTGATGGATATTATTTCTTGCTGGATGTACAAGATTGCTGATTATATAGGGCTACTGGACATACAGGGCTGCTGGATATATAAGGTTGCTGGATATACAGGTTTTTGGTGTTTAGGGTTGCTGGATATATATATAATTGCTGGGTAGATAAGATTGCTGGATATCTGGGTCACTGGACCTGTAGGCAGCGGGATCTATATGACAGATCTATAGAGGAGTGGGATCTGTGGGGCTGCAGGATCTATAGGGGAGCAGGACCTATAGGGCAATAGCATGTACAGCGCAGTGGGATCTATAGGGCAGTGGGGTCTATAGGGCAGAGGGATCTATAGGGCAGTGGGATCTATAGGGGAGCAGGATCTATAGGGCAGCAGGATCTACAGGGCAGTGGAGCAGTGGGTTCTATAGGGCAGTGGAATCTGTAGGGCAGAGGGATCTATAGGGCAGTGGGATCTATAGGGGAGCAGGATCTATAGGG